CTACCAATCCAGAAACTATTTTGAAAATTACAACCGGTACGTGTTATCTGGGTTTGGAATGTTCTATTCATCGTTTAGGCTGCTTAGATTGGAGAGAAATATGCGATGGTAAATGTGATTGTTTAGATAGATGTGAAGATGAAGCCTTTTGTTCAATGTTAAGGGAAAATACATGTAAGAGAGATGACGAATATCAATGTCTAAATAAGATGTGTGTACCGAGTGTACTGTCATTCGATAAATCACCAATTGATTGTGTAGATGGCTCAGATGAAACAGTTGGTAATTTTTTCCATAGAGATGATTGTTTTAAAACAGCATCAGATAATTGTGATGAAATTTCGTGTGATTGGTTAGAATTTACTTGTGGAGATGGTCAATGCAAAGAATCATTTGTTCCTAATATTTATCATGTTTATCGGCCTGAATTTAATTGTGCAAATGGACGGGATTTACTTTATACACGAAATATGTTGACATTTGAGAATAATAATGGAATTAATGTAATATGTTGGTATACAATTTTGTTTGCTTTTGAACTTGATATATATTTTGACAGTGATTTTCAAACTAAAAGAACTTGTAATGATACTATTACATGTAATCGATTAATCCATGATTACTGTCCAAATAAATTTCTTTTTCCATCGTATGCAATTTTCAGTGATCATGTTTTTTTTTATATACGAATACACAAGATAAAATTGATTGGACCATGAATGTCTCACCTACTTATTTATGTTATAAACCTTCTGTATGTCAATTATTTAATGACGATGATATAAATTCAAGCAGAATAACATGTAGAATATTTGAAGTACAATATAAATATTGGCATGATTTAGTTCATGACGCTCATATCACTTTCAAAAGCTGTTCTTCAGTTTTGCAGAAAACGTCATCACAGCAACATTCGAAAACAACAAATGTTTTTGTTCATGAACATCAACAATTAGTTACTGTTACCAAGGACGAAAATTTAGATCTATTATGGCATTGTAATCGTGGAATCTTAATTGAATCGACTAATCCAGGAAATTATTGCCTTTGTTCACAGAATTATTATGGTAGTCGATGTCAATATCAGTCAGAACATATACTCATTAATTTATTCATTGCAACACCCACGTTGTCAAAATATTCTTCAGTTATGCAGTTACTTATTTTAATGATTGACTCAGCTATTGACGATGCAGTTGTTTCCTACGACTATATTTATCATTTCTCAGACGATTGTATACCAAAATATAGTGTACAATTATTATATCCAAAAATACCAATACAATTCGCAAGTCATTATTATATTCGAATTGATGCTTATAATCAGCATGAAATTGGTAATACGAATACGAAACTTGAATATAAAGCCTCTTGGTATTTTGATATTGATTTTTCGTTTTTGCCTGTCAATCGTTTGTCAACAGTTTTAATTATACCAGAAATTAGTCATGTTCAAAGATCATGCTCTGAAACAAATTTAACATGTGTTCATGGACGGTGTACTGAATACTTAAATACGAAACAATTTTTTTGTCATTGTGAAATGGGATGGTCAGGTAAAAATTGTAGTTCATATCAACAGTGCGGTTGTGCTAATGATTCAATTTGTATTGCTCGTAAAACTATTGCTACAATGGTAAATCTTTCACCAATTTGTCTATGTCAGTTAGGTAAAACTGGTCGTTCATGTCATGCTTCAAATCCTAGTTGTTCGTATTCGTCATGTTCAAACGGTGGTACTTGTGTGCCATTGGATGTAAGACATTTAAATACTAAATGTATTTGTCCAAATGGATATACAGGACTTGATTGTAGTTTAAAAATGGCTGAAATTAATATTTTGTTTCAAATACCAAAAATACCATTGTCTGTCATTGTACATTGCATTAGCGAAATTGGAATTGAATTTTCATTTTATGAACGTATTCCATTGAATCTAGATCAATTAACCATACAATTAAA